GTGCAGTGGCCAGATCTCAGCTCACTGCAAGCTCCGCCTCCCGGGTTTACGCCATTCTCCTGCCTCAGCCTCCCAAGTAGCCGGGACTACAGGCGCCCGCCACCACGCCCGGTTAGTTTTCTGTATTTTTTAGTAGAGACAGGGTTTCACCATGTTAGCCAGGATGGTCTCAATCTCCTGACCTCATGATCCGCCCGTCTCGGCCTCCCAAAGTGCAGGGATTTCAGGCTTGAGCCACCGCGCCCGGCCGAAACTCCATCTTAAAAAAAACCAACAACAACAACAAAAACGTTTTGGAGGGATGGGGTCTGGCTGTGTTGCCCAGGCTGGTCTTAAAACTCCTGGGCTCAAGTGATCCTTCTGCCTCAACCTCCCAAAGTGCTGGGATGACAGGCGTGAGCCCTGCTTTCTAGAGTTGCAGGGTATAAGGGTGGTGAATTCCAGCCGTGGCGGTGGAGTTTCTGGCCCCTTCTCAGCTGTGAGCGTCCCGCCAACCCAGGTGCTGTGTCCTCTTGCCTGTTTCAGATCATTGAGAAACAGCCAGGCCACATTCGAAGCAGGGTTTTCCGGGAGGTGGAGATGCTGTACCAGTGCCAGGGACACAGGTAGGTGAGCCACCCTTGCCACAGCACTGGCCTGAGCTGTCTTTCAACGGATGAAGGGCCTGAGCGCCACATCACCCCCAGCAAGCATCTTTAGGGCACCCAGTTTGCCAGGCCCTGCGTTCCCCTCCCTGAAGAAGGCTGGCTGGCAGCCCCAGGCGGGCAGTGTGAGGCGGGCCTATTGCCCAAGTCCCAGCCTCCAGTGGACAGGCCAGCACCAAGAGGGTGGGCCCCTCCTAGGCTGAGCAGCAGGTACCCAGGGGCCTCAGGAAGCCTCAGCTCCTCTCCTGCCTCCCACCCCACCCCAGGAACGTTCTAGAGCTGATTGAGTTCTTTGAGGAGGAGGACCGCTTCTACCTGGTGTTTGAGAAGATGCGGGGAGGTACCTGGGGGCTCCAGGCTGTGGGGAGGGAGGGAGCTGGGAGGTATTATGGGATGGGGGCCTAGTGCCACCTGCAGGAGGGGGCTTGTGGGGTTTGTGTCCTGCCCAAATGGTGGCTCAGGGGTAAGTCCTTTGGGCCAGAGGAAGCCGGTGTGGGGGCGTCCCCTCCAAAGTGGAGGTGGGTGCGGGCCTTGCGGGGACTCTGAGGTGACCTGTGTGTTCCCCCTGTCCTGCTCTGCCCTGCCCAGGCTCCATCCTGAGCCACATCCACAAGCGCCGGCACTTCAACGAGCTGGAGGCCAGCGTGGTGGTGCAGGACGTGGCCAGTGCCTTGGACTTTCTGCACAACAAAGGTGGGTGGTGAGCCCGCCCTGAGCCCCCTAAGGCAGCCTGCCAAGGACTCCTGGAAGACCCCCAGCCCCTCACCCCCGCGTGGTTCTGTGGCTTCTCCCCCAGGCATCGCCCACAGGGACTTAAAGCCGGAAAACATCCTGTGTGAGCACCCCAATCAGGTATGCCAGCCCGGGCAGAGTGGCCCCGCGGGAGGGGTGGCCGCGTGGGACCCCAGGCTCACGGCCCTCTTGGCCCCTCCCAGGTCTCCCCCGTGAAGATCTGTGATTTCGACCTGGGCAGCGGCATCAAACTCAACGGGGACTGCTCCCCTATCTCCACCCCGGAGCTGCTCACCCCGGTGAGGGCCCGCGGGCAGGCCTGGGGGCTCGGCTGCCTGCTCTACGGTTGCATAACCTCGCGGAGCCTGGGCCGCTCCGCAGTTCCAGGCCGCGGAGCTCGGGCTTCCGCTTAGCAACAGCCGCTGATTGGTTGGGCGGGATGACGCGGCGGGGCCTCGATTAGGCGCCCCCACCCATCGGTGTTTGGACGGGTGGGG